AGATGATTATGATGTGCGAAAACTGTTGAGTAGGTATTGAGATCATGTATATATAATATAGAAAAAAGGTAAATTTCATATTATATCTATTCTTAAATATTAATTTAGGTTGAAAAATAATATCAAACACCTGTTTCATTTTACTAAACTTTTCCAACGATCGTATTAATAAGATGCAGATAATCTGGTTTAATATTATTTTAAGCACATACCAACAAACCATGGATTTCTTGGGTTATTTTCAACGTTCAAGCTTAAAAAATACTCTTCAAATCCTCGAACAGGGTTTGCTTGAGGTTGTACTGAAAGAGTTCCCTCTACTTCTGCTTCATTGCCATCGGAAACTAATGATCTCGCACTCCATCCATCGGACCCAATCCAGGAAAAGCTTCCAGTTGCATTGTTGCGTTTGACGGCTCTCATAACTCCTGCCACTTCTTGGTCTGAGCCAAATATTATCGTACCTGAAATGTGACAAAGGAGAGTATGTATAATTGTTACCACTATTGTTATTAAAACATACACGAAAATGACAAAATCCTTTTATTATAGTAAGTTGTATAATTTGAAATTACAAAAAGTATTATGGATTCAAGATTACACAGTTTTGTTGTTATCAGGACTATAGCATGAATATTATTCAGAACTACGCCAGCATTGGTTTACTTATATGAATACCAGTCAAATTGTTCAACATTCTATTTCATTTCTAAAGGTAGTCGGTACCGAACGATTTCATCAATGTTGAAGAACTTCTTATATGGCCCTGGCCACTTAGTAGCACACAAAAATCATAGTATCAAGTATCAATCTATTCATTTCATTGTTACAATTCGAAATTCGGGAAATTAAGATAACTCACAAAATGATCTGGAAGTTCGCGAGAAGAGATCCAAGAGCACGTGAAATTTAGGAATCTTGCGAAAGATGATGGATTCAGTTGTGTCAAAATAACTCTTATCCGATCCTATATCGAGAAAGAAACTTCTCGATAAGCGGAATTTTGTATCAAGGCAGAATATCAATAATTTAATCCCAATGAGTGGTCCTTAGTTCTGAAATGGTCCCAGTTCAATCTATAAATTCGCTTTGTTAATTGAGTGGACTCATTTACTTTATTGATCTAGGTTATAAATTTAGCGATAGTTGCTTTGTAGGTTATTTTAGTATATGTTGCGAAAGGAGTAAGTATGTAGGTGTTTTGATGATAAACCAATCAATTGCTCGACATTCTACGTTACATGAGTCTTCATCATAACAATTTGGTAAGTTAAAAGCGGTTTTTACAGTTAGTGGATTTTAAAATTATGCAAAGGGGCGCAAAGCATTACTGTCCCTTACTTAATCAGGTAGACTATTTCGAGCTTTCAAATCAATATAACATTCATTAAATAGATTTAAAAAATTAAACACATTGTTTACGTTATAAATTTTTAAGGTTATCTTCGCATAATAAAGTTCTAGTTCGCTTTATAAGCACAATTCAATTTAATTCCTACTTTCGATTAAATTTGGATTTCAATAAGACACTTCTGAAGAGTTTATTGGAAACCAAGGCAGTAGTTGATTGATGAGATCTCATTTACGTTTTGTTTTGTATGGGAATTTCAGGTTCCCGCTATACAAGGTTAATCTGAGAGGGTCTGTAATTGCTTGTTTTCTTTTCTTAACTTCTAACTTAATTAATTGTGAACTGGTTATATGTTCGTGGTAAATTTTAGAGTACTTTGGAAGTTTGAATAACTTGTCTTTATATCACCCCTAAAGTCTTTATCTGTTAATGTAACTTCAGGTTGAACGGATCTTATAAATTATATGAAAATGAAAAGTGCTCTTTTCTTCGCATTTCCAGTTTACTTATATTTCAACAAGTGTAGTATGATAACGATCAGGCAGTTTACTTACAATTTAATCAGAAACCGACTAGGGGGATAACGTCATTAATGTACCGACAATTTGAATATCTTCATTTTTATCAACTATTTGCTTTGTGAACTGATGCTGCCCTGATTCGGGTCTAAAGGTCGTCGTTGGATTGAGCTGCTTCTTAACATTTCGCTACCACGAGTGGCGACCTTCTTCGGAGGTCCTTCCATCTCCGGTGAGGAATTTTGACTTCTGCGTAAATTGTATATGCCGGGGGATAGGGGGCAGTGCTTGTCGGTCGGCAAGGTTTGGGTGTTATTGAGTATCGGGTTCCAGATATGGCTGAGTCTGAAGGTCTTCTCGTTGTTGAGGTTCTTCCGACGTTTTTTTATATTAATGGCCTCCCTAACCATTCTGCTGTGATAGCCGATGACCGAAGCTAGCAATTGGCAGTTCTCAAGTAGTATTTTGTGGTTCCCATTGTTAAGTGTATAGGAACACATTATGCCGAGGCTTGAAGGGGGCTCTTCGTCCCATTTGTCTTTACTTATCTAATGATCCACTGGAACTTCTTCGTAGATTTTAAATGACATTATTACTTGTTCATTGCCTTGATCCTTACTACAATTTCAACCTCGCATAATAGCCAAACAAAATCCTTACTTCACATTTCTTCCTAATGCTAGTTTTATGATGGGCCTTTTCGATGACTTCGGGATAATTTCATTATTCTTAATAATTACTATGACAATATTTTCCAACATAACTACATTTTGATTACAACCCTACAGTATCCTCCACCCTTTAGATCCTCCTTTACAGTTTTCAGGAAACTTCCTTATTTTTCTAACATCTTCAGTACTAACTGAATCTATCTGACGACAAGTGCAACTTCTCTGCATGCTAGCCACGTTCACATTTATTTCAATTTTTTCCTTGTTCTTTTCTTCGTTAAGAGTGCGTTTGTGTGCGAGCGGGCACACGTGTGTGTGAACGGCTTATCGATTCGCCGACTAGCCGCGGGCGCCTTTCTTCATGTGCGCCGTATTTGTAAATATGTGTGTCGTACCTGCGTTCTGGGAATGCAGTTAAACAGTTCAAAGAAAAAAAGAAGTATCCGGATGTTTCGAGAAGGCTCCCGAAAATAATCAAAAGAGTATTTAAAGGAAGAGACGATCGCCGAGTGGAGTAGAAATAAATTGACCGTTGCAGAAGTGAATCGAGAAATAAATTGACAGTGATAGCAGTGAAATAAATAGCGCACTGAATGGTGATATATCAACAGTAGTGTAAATAAATAGAATAATTCATCACCAAAGTTTAGTAATAATTTAATAGTGTTTTCAGTCACTTAATAATTAGGGTAAATAAATAGCTTTGCCGTTAGCAGTCTTAAAAGTTAATTTTGTTAAGCCCACGAACATTACAATATATTTTGTTGTTAGTTTTATTATTGCGTCTTTCTTTAAAAATTAAAAAACTAACGTGGTACGAAAGTGCGGCCAAGCAAAAAAAGCAGTGCAAATTTGAGCTAATAGCTCAGGTAAACTATACTGCTTTTTTGTTTTCTTTGTTTTTTGTGGGTCTCTCGTAACAATAGTGTTTTAAACCATGACGATGCGCCATTTAAACCAACGGCTCCTATACGTTGCTCAAAACGAAGTTAATAAAATTACTCAGCGCGTCCCAGAAAGAAACAATACGCCAAAGAGTCAGGGTACCAAATGCAGNTTAAAATATTTTATTTAATGATTATAATAATATGTGTGGTTTATACGTTCAGAATTGTTTTTAACTTCATGAAAACTATTTATAACGACACTTTATTACAATTGGTTTTATTTCTATCAGTCGGAAATATGCAGCCATTTTTATGATGAATCAGATATTTCTTACTATAGCACACGCTGTTAACATGCAGTTGAGGTAAGTGTACTGAAAATTTTGAATTTTCTATACATTCACGTCATACAGTGGGTGCTTTATAATGTCAGCAAAGCAATGTCTTTTCCAGATAGTGTATTGTGATGCTATAAATTGAGAAAGTGACAGTTTCTAATACCCATTAACTCTAACAGAAAATGTGGATACCATTATCAAATTTACCGTCTTATAATAAATCAAATGCTTAATTTTCATTAACAAAAACGCAAAAGCAATGTCTTTAGTTCATCTGCTATAGCAATTGCCTGTTACTGATAGAAAAGGAAGAGTTACATTCAAGTAAAGAAACATCTAAGGGCATTTTCAAGAGTATAATCCAGAAAGTACTACCCGAGTCGAAAAATTTCTACTGTTTTAAGTCTAAAACAGATAGTTGCAAGTGTTTTGCTTCGAAATTAGCCTAACATTCCCTTTTCCTTCTCCAAGCTGATCAAGTAAAACCATTTCGAACATTCGCCCAGTCAAAATTGCTTTTATTAATATCAGGCGATGTGGCGAGTTCATTAGGACAAATTTAGACACTATTGAGAAGGCGTAAAACATGACATCTTTTAACACGGGTATTACTTTAAAGTCTACATTGGGAGCAATACATGCAGTTAAAGTAGTTAATTTAGTGTGCTGTGTTATTACATATATAAAAATAAGGTCAATGAATTTCTTTAATGCATAGCAATTTTCCCTGAATGAGATAAGAAATCTTCTGGGAAATCAGTGAGAAAAAAATGCCTTGCCTTTTTCTTTAATTTTACCAGCGTAATAATTTGTAAACTTTTATCCAGTATGTGAAGAGCGGATAAGGAGCTTTGCAGGGAATCGATCGTTATTTATTTTTGAAAAAATGAACCAACTAAAATTATAGTCTAACTAATTTATAGAAAACCAGAGTTGAAAATTTTCTTTTTGTAACGTCAGGATTTATTTACGTTTCTCTTATAGGGATGTGAAAATTCAAAGCAAATTATACTTTACTTCAGTTCCTAATCTTATTTAATACCTTGTTATATTTATGATATTTGTACATTACAAATTTCTAAGACAAAACTATTAATTTTTAGGTTAGGTTAGGTTACGTTATGCTCTACATCAGTTCCTAATCTTATTTAATACCTTGTTATATTTATGATCTTTGTATAGTGGAAGTCTCTTACACAAAATTATTAATTTTCAGGTACAAAAACATTTTTTATTTTCAGCTAAATGAAGGTCTTTTCCGTAGAAGTTTATTTCAATTCATTGTTGATTGATAACTGCGACGCAGTTCTCTGAACGTTTGCTAAAATGCTAAAGGGCTAGGAACTCGTTCCTCGTTCAATTGAGGCTTTTTATTTGATTATGCAGTTGCCTTTGGGGATGTTATGTTCTTTGATTAGGCATTTAAGGATGACTTTGATATAATATTCGTAATATTCCGCATTGTATTTGCAAATCATCGAATGCTTCTGCTTTGAACTATATTTGTTGTCAATCCATGTATTATTAATTCAGAGAAACAAAAAAAAATAACAAAGGTAACAACAAATTTTTAAACAATGACTGCTTTTTAGTTGTTATAAAATAACCTTGGTGCAATTCAAACTACAAACAAGGCGAAAACCACAGCCGTCTCTAATACAAGCCATGCTGAGAAATTTGGCAACAGCGCATTGCTTCG